GCCCCCGTCAGGGATCAAATCCTTGCTGTCCACTCCGTAGTCAGTCACTACACTGACTAAGCTTCTTAGTGTCGTCCTCAAGTACATGAATGTTGTTACATTTTCAAACAATTCATTGGCTATTCTTATATTCTGATTCTGTCTTTAATTCTGATGCTGAGACATGATCATATACATTGTCTTTTCTGCATTTACTTCTAGACCAACATCCCTACTAGCACTTAAGACTGTTTCTGTGTTTGCTTTTATAGTACTTATATTACCACCCAACAGATTAATATCATCAGCATAGAACAAAAGCTGACTTGGATTTTCCTGATGGCATATTCTAAGGCAAAATTAAAAAGCATCTCTCCAAATTGAATAACCATGCACTCGATTGCATCATTCATTGAGCTATCTCATAATCAATTATCCTCTTCTGTATTTACGTGTGGGAGCAGACATTTTGCTGTTTTTCTTCTCTGTAGTCAGCTGATATTTTTCTGCAAAACATCTGTACTTCCTTCAAATTCACAGACATGCATTTTTGTGTTGCTCAATTTTTTATGAAGATGTGTCTTCTGGGTTGTAGTGCTGTGTAGCCTGGTAGAAGTTTACCAACATTTCAGAGATTCTTTCTGTATCCATCATCAGGGGGATGAGACTACACAGCACTACAACCCATCATGCCAACATTTGGATGGCATGGAGGAACGTGTACTGCATAATGTCTATTTTTTTAATTGCATTACTGATTCCACCAATGATAGTGATGCACCAATTTCTGGCTGAAAAGCAAATGATGATGCAGACATTGGTGTTTCAGTTACAAAATAAATCATTTATATTTGTTTCAGGGAGGTGTACACTTTTTGTTTTGACAAATTGGTGCTCCATGCAACAAAATTGTTCAAGGTACAACCCTACATAATGACAGCTGTGCATAGTCTTATGCCTCCAGACTGTGAAGCGAGAATTTAATACAAGAGGTGGTTTCAGGAATCTGTGTTTAATAGTCTTCTTGAACCAGATCTTATATTTTATTCTTAAAAATCATGATTTACATTAAGTGGGTATGTAAACAGTCAAAACAAATAGATGCTGGTCCACAAAAAATCCTTGTCATTCATGAAGTGCCTGTACACTGTGTGAAAGCTGGAGTTTGGTGCACAAATAATGCTTGAAGAATAATCGGTCAAATTTCTTCTTTTGACAAAACAAACTATAAATAATATGTAAGATTAATTCTGACATCCTTTTTTGATGAAATGGCTGAAGATGAATAAATGTAATGGCACTTCATACAGGACAATGCTACAGCCCACACAGCTAATAATTCTATGATGCGATCGCTGACGTTTTGATGAATTGGTAAGAATTGTGGCCTGCCTGCTCACCTGATTTAAATCCTTGTGACTTATTTATGGGGCATACTAAAGGATAAAGTGTTTGTCAAAAATCCTCATTCACTATGATAAACAAAAGAGAATATTCAGCAAGAAATTTATGTTATTCCAAGACAACAGCTTTGCCATGTGTCTAGAAATGCTTTTCCAAGGTGTGAGGTCTGTAAAGAACCTGAAGGTTGGCCCTTCAAGATTCCTCTTTTAACTAAGGCAGGTAATATTGTAGGGGGAAAATGGGCAGCAAACAATTGCCTTCTCCTACAGCGCTATGCAGAAAGCTTGCCATAACATTGTACGAGACCCAGACTCACGATAAAACTAGAGACCCTGTATAATAAAATGGCAGTAGTGTTATAAATGGGTTAAAAAATCAAATTATTACAGTGGAACTGTTTATTCTGGCACTGTGTCTGCAAGATCCATTTGACGAAAATAATTTGCGACTAGGCAGATTATGAGGGTGAGCGGTGCCACTGATGGAGGGTCATCAGATTTCTGCAAAAGAATAGAAAACATATATACTTTTTAAAATTATATTCATTTTATCAAGAAAAGTTTCATTCCAGTTAAGATTTCAGATATAATAACAATAATGATGCTGAAATTACATTTAAAATGTCAGGCGAAATCAAGATGAGCCCTTTACGTTTATGTTCATGTTTCCTTCTATATACATATAATTTACTTACCAGTGACGCTCTAAGCCTGGAACAGTCTCGTGCAAGCGTACGTAATAAGCTGCATGTTTCTGGAAGTAGTGGTAGTTCAAGACATGCCAGCAATGAATATAACCATTGACCTTGCTGTACAGATAAACTTGACCTTGTCTCAAGCCACTCCACATGATATTCAAGAACTTGATGTATCAATGGCTGGAATAAAAAGGAATTCAATTAGCTGGAATTTAACATATTATAATGTGATTGTATTATTCTGTCAGTACAATTTATGTTCACTATTCAGTATATTTTCAAACTGACAACTGGGAATGAGAGTTTATACACAAAAAATTATTAATAATGAGGTTAGACTAGTAAACTCTGCTACAATGCAAAATATGTCAAGAATACAATGATCCCACATCACAGAATTCATAAGAAAACTTTATTTCTCCTGATGGAAATAATACAATGATCCCACATCACAGAATTCGTAAGAAAACTTGATTTCTCGTGATAGAAAGACACATATTAAATTGATCATGTCTTGACAGATATAAGTTAACAAGCAAGTATATTTGATGTCCAATATTTTAGAGGGGCTGACTGTGGTACTGACCACTATCTCTGGCGGTTACAAAACTAAATAAGTGAGCAACACAAAAGCTTGACATGCACAGATTTCATCTCTAGAACTTAAGGAAGAGTATCAGGTCAGAGTTTCAAATAGGTCTGCAGCTTTGGAAAATGTGGACAAAAATGCAGACATCAATAAGGCTTGGAAGATTTTGAGAAAATATAAAAATTTTAGCCAAAGACAATCTAGGTCATTTTAAGTTAAAGCAGCATAAACCACAGTATCATTAAGATTTCAAAATTATTAGATAAAAGAAAGCAAGCTACAATGCAATGGTTGAAGAATCCAAGCCGGATTAATGGACTTAATCTGAACAATGAGATATTTGAAACTAGAAGAACTTCAGGAATATCTGAAAGGCAAAATTAATGAACTAGAAACAAACAGTAAGAATAAAGACCTGCACAGAGGTATAAAAGAATTTACAAAGTTACCAACCTAGAAGTAACTTGGTAAAAGATGAAGATCATCTGCTTGCAGATTCTTATAGTATTTTTAATATATGAAAGATTATGACGTTTGTCAGCTATTGAATAAATGTGGGGCCAGCAATATTTGGTAGACTAAAACACATACTGTTAAGCCATTAGTACCTGAACCTAGATCTTTTGTGGCTGAGACTGCATTGAAAAATTAAAGATATAAAAATCACGAGGTACTGGTCTAATTTCAGCATGGAAGGAATTACATGTTTTGCTTATTTTATCTGAAAACTAATAGTTTATTTTATGACACTGTCATTAGCTCCCAGCAGTTGCCTGGAGAGACTGAGGAAAACAACAAATCTTGTTCACAATAACTGGTCTCAGGGCTGAGATTTGAACAAAGGACATACTAAATGGGCACATCAGCTTCTAGTCTATGCCGATTATGTTATTTACAGGTTGAACACACAAATGTCATACATTAAAACAGAAGCTTTATTAGCTGCTAATTAAGGAGTTGGTCTAGAAGTAAATGCAGAGAAAACCAAATATATGTTAATGTCTCATCACCAGGCTACAGAACAAAATCATATAAAGGTAGCTAGTAAGTATTTTGAAAATGTGGCAGAGTTCAAGTATTTGGGAGTGACAGCAATAATCAAAATTGAATTCATGAGGAAAACAAGAGAGGCCAATTTTAAGGAATTCTTGCTACCACAAAATTCAAAATATTGCCCTATTTGTTCCACAAGAAACACAAAGATTAAAATGCACAAAACTACAATTATACCATTGTTTTGTTTTATCATGAAACTTGGCCTCCCATGTAAAGGGATGAACACAGATTGAGGGTCTTTGTGAAGAAGGTGCTTAGGAAAAAATTTGGACCACAGAAGGATGAAGCGAGAGCAGCGTGGAGAAAACCTCACGAGAGTTCAATAATTTGTACTTTTCACCAAAATATTATCAGGATGATTAAATCAAAGGTCATGAGATGAAAAGAACATGCAGTATACATGGGGATGATATGAAATTTATAAAAAAATTAGTTTTAAAGCCTGAAGGGATGAGATCAATTGGAAGACTTAGGCACAGATGGGAAGATAATATTAAAACGGTCTCAGGAAAATATGATTAAAATTTGTGAATTGAATTCAACTGATTCAAGACACGGACCACTGGTAACCTTTTGTAAACACACCCTATACACTTCATATACAGTCATGATCAATTTCCTCAGGTTGATCACACTACAGGTTTCATTCTAACAAATGTGAACAAAAACAATATAATTACTCCTACCTGATTCATTGACAGCAGAATGCTCAGCAATGGTGGAACACCACCACTGGAAGTTCCACTTTCCACAGGTTCAGTATCACTTCCAAAACACAGCAAGTACCAGCCTGCTTCATCTCTTCTTGCAGGCTGAAAGAGTTTATAAAGCCCTCTTTCCTTCATTTTGGGTATTTACTATTTTATTACAGATTAACAATCACACTCTAATATCATTATATAGATCAAGAAGGATGAGAGAGGTGTGACATAAGATGAGAAATGCCCAGATAATTTTAAGATAGAAAACCTCAAGGAAAGACAAGAACTTAGTGATATAAGGCTATTAACATGGATTTAGATAAATATGGTGTGAGTGAATAGACTAGGGGCATTTTCCAAGAGCAGGCTTCTTTATGAACATGGTAATGAACTTTAGGGTTCTATAAAAGTGGGGAATTTCTTAACCAGCTGAGCAACAATAAACTTTTCAAAAGAAGTCCTACAATATATATTTCAAAATTATATTAAAAGTTACCAGACAACTCTGTAATTGCTAACTACAATAAGATTGATAACTGGTCATACGTAAAACCTTTCATGCTCTCTGGTACATGAGCTAACTATTTTTACCACTATTATTGGCTATTTATTTACTTTACCACGCCAACTGCATTTCAGTTCCATGGAATCATTATCAGTAGTTGTGTATTTACATACACAGTTCAAACAAATACAATAAAAGGATACATTATAATCATTAAGTCATAAAACATTACATTATTATAAATTAACTGAATTACATTCATTATAAAAATTGAAAAAAAGGTTAAAAGAATATATACATTTTTTACAACACTTACTTTACAGCCACTGTATATTTTGGAAATTGTTGCTGCATTTTCCATTCACTGCATATATTACTTTCACCTATTATTGTTACATAAATCACACTTCTCAACTTTTGTCAGTTTCTGTCAGTCGTGCTATAGATATGATATGTATTATGAATTATAATCACTTGTTGTAAAGTAACTTTTCTCCCAAATTCTTTCAGCAATTTTGACCTTCAAAATTTTTCATCTGCACAAATTAGGTTGATGGGGGAGTTGTGTATGTAGTGGTTCCTTCCTTGTGGGGTGTCGTCTCATTTTTACTATACTAGCTTATACTATACTTACTTTGAATGTTTATACTCTTACTGGTACTTACTTCTACCAGCCTCCCTATTACTAAGCTTGTCCTTCTCTCTACAGAATGTCCCCAACTGATGTATACACATATTTGACAAATTAAATAAAGAAGACATTTTAATAAACAAAAAGCATTACACATGTCAGCATTGGCATTTGGCGAATTTAGTATACGTGTTCAAGCATCTGACTGACAAGAGGCCACAAAAGTTGCTGCTGTGTATACACCTTTTTTTGGGACATTCTGTATTTATAATTAAGTGAAAAAAAATACATCAGAGTCAGTGGCTTACTGCTAACCTAAAACAGATTTAATAATGGCTGATTTATAAATATTGTATCTTTTGACTATGTCTAAATTTTTACCTTTTTGTGATATCCTTATTACATCCATTATAGTTTATACTGTACTATACTCGTGATTAAAATCTGATATAATCACATATTTTGATTTTCTCTGATTAAATCTATAGTCTCTTATGTGTTCTTTACTGATAAATTGATTTATTAAACCCATATTATTACATTTATCATAATATCTTTTTATTTGAGACTTAGTCTTGACAGAATTGCCAACATTATATGCTACTTTTACTCTAGAATTTTTAAAGATTTTAGTGAGGATTTAATCATCCCCAAAATATATAATTTTGGTTCATTTTCTTCTTATTTTACCTCCAATAGGGAACTGTCAGTACTACTAAGGAGACTGGCTCTCCTATGTTTTCATAAGGCCCCATAATATATTTAATGTTGTACCTGTTATTCACTGTTATTAAATTTGTTTCATTTCTCTTTCTCTTTCATTATTAGTAATGGGCAATGTATGTATTCTGTCTAATAGATAATTAAATACTGCCTGCCTAGAAGATTTACGTATCACTGTATCTGTGCACTGTGCATGCAGCAGTAATAACTGGTGACTGCAGGCGTAATAAACACAGGGGTGCTTCAATGTTTACATTCTTATAACATTTAATCTGAATTTTAATGTTGAATGTAATATAGTAATTTGTAAGGTTTTATGACTTAACCTCTTAAGTGGGGAGACAGCTTTCAGTGAAAAACTGCCAAGCCACTTTCATGTTTCCAATAAGGCAACTAAAATAAATTTCAAGCCTGAAAATGGCAGTCTTCTGGGTTGTTGAGCTACAGTGAAAACCTCAAATCCTACAAATATTAAGTCACCCAAATTTAAAAAATCAGAGTTTCCGATGATTGTTTTACATTATTTCTTCAACTTTAATCCAAAGTTACATATATTTGTAATATATGTATAAGGTAGTTTGAACAATGGCATGCTGTGACATTTCAGTTTCTGGTTTCATGTCATAGAATTTTCTCCACTTGTAAACAATTCAGAGCAATAGATTCATGGGAAAATCATGTGGATATAACATTCCTCATCAAATTACCCACATTCATGATTCTACTTATTTACATCTGAATAGGCATGTATTTGGATTTATTATGAATTACTGTAAAATGTATGCAAAAATTCTTCTATACCAAATTGGACTGATATTTTCTTCTTCTGCAGACAACTTTGAATAAACTTGCTTAACATATTTACACTTTTTATACATACTTACACTATTTACTCTTATGTTCAGTTATTGCCTTTGAGGTGGTGATAGATATGGAAACAAGAGTTCTGGACAAAGTGAAATTTTACAGTTGCTGCATCTGTATTTTGAATCACTTCTGTCATTCTTTCCACACCACACATCTCTTGCTGGCATGTTTCTTTGTTCCTGTGGGAGAGTTGACATCAGGAAAATGCCTTCCTGAGAATCTTCCAATAGGATCTGGAGGTAATGATCAGTTGTCTCACTGACATAACCTCAGGGGGAGTTGCTCTTCTGTATTTTTAAAATAACTTTTAAATTATTTCCATACAGAACTAAGGGTGTTGATATGCCACCATGTTACCTGCATATTACAAATTAAAACTGTCAAATCTAACAACTGTAGGATAGTTTATTACATCTTCTGGCAGTCCTTTCTGTTAGATCTGACAACTCCTACTGCATTGGTATGAAGCTGATTCTGCAAATTGAAAAGTTCAGGGTTACTATAGTATTAAAAAAAAGTAAAGCTGTCCCACTATATACCACGTAGGCACCTGGGGGGAGAAGCGGTATAGCTCCTACTCATTCTTAACCTTGGCACAAGACAGGGGCAAGAGGTCAGTGTCACGCGTCAGCCATGCTTTACTCCTGGGTAAGGACCCAATATCCACTGGACAGGAGGCTGGGTGGGCCCCAGAGCTGGTCTGGATGCAGAGGGTAGTTTGGGCAATTACTACAGTAACTACCCAAACTAATTACATAGTTGGTCATCTAAAGTAAACATAATTTTGGAAGGCTTGTAATAGAGGAAAATATCAATTCCATTGATTTGACTTTTCAGTTTCATATAATTTCTGGCATATCACAATATGTTCCGCACATATCTCATCTTTGCTCAACATAGTCATAGGATTCCATGCAAAAATGAAAACTTTTCTCTGGGATCTAAACTTGCCAACAATGATGTCCCTTCCACAACAGGAGATTTTCATTTACTGAAAGCTGGTCTTCTGTAATATAACATTCAGAAAATGTTCTTATCAGGTGGTTGAATACAGGTTCATTTTATAAATCATTGGTGGAACCGGTGCATGGCAAGATTCATTGACTGTAAAAATGAAGAAGTTTCAGAAGAACAAAAAATCTTTTTTGACATACTTCCATAAAAAGTACACTGCCAAAAGTCTGTTTCAAAAGAAACAGTCATCCACTTTAGGTTTTAGGACAATGCCTTGTAAGAACAGGCTTCCAAAAAGCAGTTTATTTTAATCTTTCTTATTGGGAATCCAGTCTGTTTTGCCAAAAACACAATAACAATTTTCATCCCCCACATCACGCACGGAATTGCTTTGTTCACTTTAACTTGATTCTCTTTGCAACTCTGTACAATCGTATACTGCAGTATTTACAGTCACACTTGTGCCTGCAACACTGTCTGAAGATACAATTTCTTCTTCACTTTCATAACATATCTCACTAAAGTATGAAGTGAAGCTTTTGTGACAACTGAGGTTGATGAAAGACTCTCGGGCTACAAAGGAATGGACTGATTACCCAGCAGCCCTGAGGATGAGAACGGATTTTTCTCAAAACATTGGTAGAAGATATAGTTTGTTTACCATTCAGCCACCTGATGCGGCTTGTAGCCCCAGTCTTTCATCATCTATCTCACTAAAATTCTGTTCCTCCTCACTCAGTTCAATCATATCACATATAGTGTCTCTTTGACATATTTACAAAGAATAAATTATATGAACATAAGAAACTAACACTCAATTTATGATAGTAACACAGTCCCACAACATTTCTGATTGAGAAATGTCCAAAAAGTGGAAGATGATAGATATATTCCCCACTGAAGGGTTTAATGATTATAATGAATGCTTTTATCATATATAATAGAACCAAACATGTAAAATACACAGCCAATGATGATGATTACATAGAGCTGAAACATGTTTGGTGAGGTAAAGTAAATAAATAGCCAATAATAGTAGTAAAAATAGTTGGTTAATGTAACGTTCGTGCTGGTGATACTAGTGAAAAAAAACACCTTTAACTTGAAACTTATCTTTTGAGAGGAAAGCCAAGATTAATTTCATATGGAACAGCTACCAAGAGTAAAAAATTTGAATTCATACAAACTGTTATTTCCACTACCTGGGAAACTTTAATATGAAGAAGCATCACACTTCAGTTATATTTTATCTTAAATTTTAAATCATCTAGAAATTAAATTATAACTCAAAATACCATCTTCTGCATATTTGCTGCTTCTCTGTCCTCAGTACATATAATCACCAACGTGATGCATTTGGTTGTATATAATTATTCATGCTTTTACCAATTACAACACAATTCACTGCCTATTATTATCACAAGCATGATACATCTTATTCCTGTTTTCCATTTTCTGTCATACATCACAGTCCATTAATATGATTAAAAATTGTTATATTGAATATTAAAATATCTCATGTCACAATATGCCATTCATTAGTGTCTTAATCTTATACATTTTGATTCAATGCATTTCCCTGTTACTGTTTGTTTAATGTTACCAACCACATATCACTCAACTCTGTAATGTCCTTCCTAATTGTATGGTAACATATAACATTATATACAGTCAGTTAAAATGTCTCATTATATGTTCAATTAAAAAAAATATATAACACTTAACCTTGATTTTTCTAGCATTGTGGTTTACGAGCAGTCCGGCCGACCATGCATTGCACCAGCATACCATTAAATGTTTAACCCTGTCAGATGTCAGCTCTGTAATTCACACTATATTAAATCAGATGACACGATAATTGAGGAATAATAAACTGAAATGATAGGAATGGAAGTGGTTGTGGCCTAATTTAAGATATCATTCTGGCATGTACCTGGAAGGACTGAGAAAACCATGAAAACCCTGAGTCAGGATAGCCTGTCTCTGGGTTGAGATTTGAATGCGGTTCCTCCCAAATATAAGACACTGGGCTGGCTACATGAAATGAAAGGATGTACGATTACACTTGAGATTCCAAAACTGGAATGATGATTAATGATTACAGAAATGCTATTTATAAGCAAGGCTGGAAGGATGTAGCCCATAAAGGAATACACATTTTTAAAGGATGTTAACAGGGCTTGTCTGTTCACTGGATTTTCTAAACTAGGTGAATTAAATTACAGTCTTGTTTTAAACAATGCAAACTGTAAAGAATTCTAAAAGAGAAGGGCTGTAGTATCACAGTCTAGAAAGACAACATGAAATCTGACATTCAGAGTCAAACTTAAAATCAGGCCTTTGTACAATTTATTCTTTGAATTACAGACAAATGGCACAACCTTACACAAGACATTTTTCTCTGTACCACACATGAAGAACTAACAATAGTAACACTTCAGTATGATTAAAAGTTCTCTGTTTTATAATATTAACCTACAAGTCATTTAGATTTTAATATAAAAAAGTTCTAATTTAGAAAAGGCTGTAGGTTCTATAAGAATCACACAGACAATTTTCTACGATTATAAAAAACAGTTCTTTGCAGCTTACAGCACAGTAAATTCATGTATTTAAATGTAGAAAGCCAAAGTTAATAAATCATTCAACATACCAATGATATAGACGGTTTAAAGTTGCCCAAGGACCTGTACCTTGCTAAGTTCTGACGTACTGAAGAAAAATCAGCAACTTGACATTGTTGCCATTCAATGGAAGGTGTAACCAAAGGTGGTTCTTTTATGGCCTGAAAATATAAAAAAAACTGAATGATGTAGAAATTTAGTACGATAAATTAGAGTCTGATATTAGGAAGGTAACAAATTAATCTTTTTCCACCATGTGTCTTTGTATAATCAATACACAAAATACTCCCACAGTCGTATGTGAACATATAATGTACAAGATTAATTTTCACGTTTCTACTGGTTACTGCGAAGCGGCAATACATTACTAAATGCTTTGTCTGACGTCCTTCTGCCGCCTGACACAAATAATTCCAACTCCTCAAAAAACATAATGTAGTTATACTATTGTAAGCAACCCCCTACCCTGCTACAATGGGCAGCCAGCCTGGTGTTAAGTCAGCATTTCTGTCTTCCTCCAGCACAGAAGCAGCTGGCTGTCTATGTGCTGGCATGCTCTTGTCCTTTATATACAGCTTCAAAATTGTGTCACCAAAGTGTCATTTCTATGGAGTTAGGGAAAGTGGTGGATTTTTCCTGAACCAAATCCTTTTCTCTACGCAACACTGGAAAAGATGTGAATCTTACAAAAGCAGTAGTAGTAGTGCTGAGTGAGCTAGTGCTGAAGTATCAAGCAAGATTGCACTGTGAGAGTGGTAAGTAAAACCAAAGCTAAGAATATGAAGGAGAAAGTTATATCCATTTCACCAGGATGGTGATTAGTAAGTGTCAGATGATAATCCAGGGAAGAATCAATTGAGCCGTGATGTAATCAGCGATTACACAATGAGTTCTTACCACAAAATCGATTTGACACTACAGGCAACTCTCAGTTTACGAACATTCGCTATTACAAACATCACAATTCATTCAAAATTTCTTAAAGTCACCAATAGATAGAGTTCATTATAAAATGAAATGCCAAATGTATAGTGAACATAATTGTAAGATTTAAATACATAAACTTTTAAAAAATGTATTTATTACAATAATTATCAGAAAATTATTATATGATAATTATACTGAACTGTTCTTGGTTAATAAAACTAATTTAGCCAGTATTATTCTTTTCTTATTTTATTTTACATTACATATCGTATACAATAAACCACAACGCATACATACATTATAATAAAACACATTGTATAGACCATTCGATGTTTAGTACACGGTTTTAATGCTTTAAAATGGCTGCTAACATATATGATACGTGCCATAAAAGCTCAGGAATGCAAAATACACATAACGAACAAAAAACGTATAATGAACAACGTCCTGGAATGGAACTCATTTGTAAACCGAGAGTTGCCTGTATTACAATTGATTCTTCATTAATATCTGATGTTCCACTAATCACCGCCCTGTAACTGCATGTAATTGTTCTCTTCCTCATTGCAACACACTGTTTTTAGCTGTGGTTCTCCATTCTTCTTTCCACTCCCTCAGTGCCATCTTGCATGATACTTCAGCACTGGCTTGCTTAGCACAATCACTATTCCTACTAAAGGATTCACAACTGTTCAAATGTTGCGTACAGAAAATGAGTTGGTTCTATAACAGTTCACTACTTTCTCTTACTCTGTAGAAATGACACTTTCTGGTGACATAAATTCAAAGCCAGATACAAAAAATGAAAACGTAGCAGCACAAAGATGGCCAGCTGCTTGTAGGCAATGTAACACTAGGCTGGTTTGTGTTTTGTAGGTGGGGACACAGGCTTTAAACAATATATTATGGGAATTCAGTAGTTGAGAGATAATTAAAACCACTCGATGTCCTGGCTGTAGAAAATTCAGACAATGTTATAACTGGAAAGGGTTAAATAAGATTATACAGAACTAGATGCAATCGGAGATGAAATGATTTAGCCTGTTGTTAACTTACGATATCTATGTTTACAGTCTGCTCCTTGAATTGAGATTTATCCACACTGGCAACCAAAACATGTTCACACTTGGAAGCTTCTAACCTGTAAGAAAAACAAATGATTCCTTATGAAGTATATACAGAAATTATAGAAGAAAATGTAGTTCGTAAGACCTGATAGAACTAACTGACAGATGATGGGTCCATGTTTAAACTGCACACGTAACATTACAATGTTGATACTATCCTTGTACAGCATATAGGGGTATCAACTTTGTAGTGTAATGGGTGATACCAGTCTGAACCCAAATCAGAACTTGGTATCCTGAATGATGATGATGATGATGTACAGTGTATCAAAAGTTAGTGATAACTGCTTTCTTCCACATCTCTAATTCACTATTCATATTTTCACATCTCTCAATCAAAATCAAATAACCTATGCAACTGGTACATTACACTGGCAATGAATATGTTATTTACACATCATTTCTGGTACATCAATGTTATGATTCCTTTGCCAGAGGAATTGAAGATACTCTTTTACTTCTGTTAACAGCTATCAACATTTCTTTGACAGTCAATAACTTTTCCTGCTCTGATTTCTGACTACAAATGCTAAGATATGAAATTGACCCAACAGTAAACCCTTAAATCCTGAAAATATTGTGGCTCAGTGTCCACAAGGGTGGTCAAACTACCACTAGAAGCATCTAAAATATTTGATCTGGTCCACAGCAATACTCAGGATGTACTAATTAATAATATGGCACTTTATTAACTTTTAGTCTTCGTAGATAGATTAGAGGAAATACTTTAAATGCATACAAGTGAGGAAGACCATCTTCTGGGATGTTGTACCATGCAGTCTGGTAGAAATTTACTGAAATTTCAAAGGCGTTTGCTGCTTCCATCAACATTCTCTGCCTTTTATGATGCCCAAAGTTTCATTATTGTAAGAACCCACCAACGGTTTTTATCCTGAGCCATATGAATCCAGTACACATCCTACCACCCTATTTCCTTAAGATTAATTTTAATATCATCCCCTAATCTATGCAAATTTCTACCAAGTAGTCTCTACCCTTCAAGCTTTCCAATCAAAATGTACAGATTTCTCATACATACTACATTTCCTGTCTACCTCATACCCCCTGATTTGATCACAGTAATAATACGTGGTGAAGAGTTCAAATTATGAAGCTCTTCGTTATACAATTTCCTCCAGCCTCCTGTCGCTTCATCCCTCTTAGGTCCAAAAATACTGTCCTTAGCATTTAGTTCTCAAAGACTCTCAGTCTTTGTTCTTCCCTTAATGCAAGAGACCAAGTTCCATACTCATACAAAACAAGAGATAAATTAAAAGTTTTGTATATTCTGTCTTTATGGTCCAATACATCATATGGGAAGAACTGGGACACAGTGTAATATTTCATAATACGCTGTTTCTTTACACTGAAGAGTTGTTAGCTCCTGACCAATGCCTAATCTGGAGGACCACCCTTTGTTGGTTATCCAGAACTGGATGCTGTTTCCATCTGCAACCAGACGACATGCCATGGTGACAAGGAACCCACTAAACACAGAATTTTGTATTTTGTCTGATGTTTATTAAATAGGCCAATTTTTCTAAGTTTCTAAAGGGGTGATATTGTATCTTGTATATTAAGGGAGGGCTGACAAATTACTTTCCTTAAAGCTATGCTACCCATGTTTCATATCATTCTTTAAAAATTAAATCCCAGTTCAGTGCTCTGGCATTCAAAATAGCACTAAAGAACTATACTGACTTGACTATTATTAACATCTTTGTCATCATCACCAAAATCTAATAAAACAGAAAACACACAAAGAAAATTTTCTGACTTATGTCATTACAATTTATTTCAGTCCGACATTCTATACAATTAAGATTCATTTTGAACTGTATAAATTTTAGACCACTTCATTCAAGATGATATGACAATTCTTTATTTTTTATTAATGTTTTCATGAGAAAAATTATCTTCCAATCGATTATAGACACTGTTGGTATGTGCCTACATGGCAAATAAGATAATAATAATAAAAAACAGAGAGTTTTACACCATCAGTGTGAAGAGTGCTCTAAGACAGTGGTATTTAACCTTTTTTGCTCGCGTACCCCCAAACATAATTTCTCTTCAACTTTGTACCCCCAAAGTTGTTGGTGTATAATTTAAGTTATACATAGTATATAATCTACATCTAAAATAAATTAAATAAATTACATTACTGATTACTCAGTGTTTATCATGAAATAATATTTATATTTTTTAAATTTCACGTACCCCTTAAAATGTCTTCGCATACCCCAGGTTGAATACCACTGCTCTAAGATACTGATCTTCAGCCTAATGGCCATTGCTGCAAATAGCATAGACAGATTTTTGGACAACTGTAGCAAAAACAAAGTCTCACTTGAAGCCAATATCTCTGCTACAGAACACAGACTATTTGCTTTAATATGTATTAGCTTAGTTCAGATTCAATCTGTTTGTATGATGTTTGCTGCTGGCAATCATGACTTTTAGTGAATTATTGCCTTTCTGTATTTGTGCTGTTCATTTTGTGCATGCCTGTAATTGGTGTGTGTGATGTTGTGAAGCACATTAATAAATTAATTGAATTATTTACAATACTATCTTAACAAATAACATTTAATATCTTATATAACAGTTGCAGTCGTTGAAAGGCAATACCCCTTCATTTTACAAGAAGTAAACAGAACATCTATGGAAAATGTAGTGAACATAACTGCCTATGTTGATTTCAAAGCACAAATCTGGAGATACAATTACTAACTGCAGCATTGTTACCTGTATTATATTATGAAACAAATATCAATAACTGAAATGCAGAAAATAGTTTTGTGACAACCTCAGTTTGGCAACCTAAAATTTATAAAATCTGCAATCAAGGCACAATATCAATAGCAGGCCTCTGTTATGATTACTTTGGACTTATTAAAGTATTTATATTCCAGTCAATACTCACACTACTCTCTGGATGTATTCTTCTCCAGTAGCTGGCGGGATCAATGGATCATAATCTCCATTGATTTTTCCTACAGCTAAAGCCGGTTCAGGATAATCTTCATTTCCAAACATCATTTTGCCAAATTTCTCATGACTACCTAATCTATAAAATTCATGTAAAATAAGTGAGAAAGGAGAAGAACTTACTATAATCACGGCACAGATATTAGAGATAAGTACTAAATAAAGTGGATATTAATCCTCTGAAGCCCAAGGTTCACTAAATAATAATTAAGAATTCAGTCTGTGACACAAATAAAACATTTTCCACTACAAAAATCAACTGGTTAATGCTGTTTAAAGAAATAATCCCGTTTACAATGAGAATCATATGAAAACCATAAATACAAAATGTTATGTTCATAACTGTTAAAGCAGGTGGTACTGGACATTAAAGGGTTAAATAAATTTTGCTTATGCCGACTGTTTCTGTTTTTGTATGCTCTGACCTATACAAAATAGAACAGAACAGAATTTATTTAAATTCCACAACTGCTTCATAGGCCTAAATGAAGGATGTGGAACATGTCATAACCCAAAAACAATACTCGTTTCTAATACAAATTACACAGTTGTGACAGTGATTTACAGTATTACAGTAAAAATAATTACACAAGAAAGATTCACCACTATTGCATACATGTGTTTATATTGTGGTTGTTGTTATTATTATTTATAATACTCCTACATCTTTGATGTGGGAATATTACAGATGGGTATTGCTGATTATGAAATACATAATAAGTAAAAGTAAATTAAATAATGTGACAGCCAATTTTAAGATAATATTTAAATATTTTATGAACCTGGAGATACTTATAAAATTACTAAAATCTTAATCAAGAACTCTGGCCCTGGGACTCATTTCTTGAGCAAACATCATTTAATTGATACATATTTAAAATATTTTGTTGCACTTGAATATTGTAATTCTATCCCATTCTTTAATTTATGGTGCATGGCAATAAAGAAGTGTAAATTTCCAATAGTAAAACCTTCAATTATACCACTCTTGTAAAAATGGTATATATAATATTTTAAATAAAATGTACCTTATAACTTTTCTTTAATAAGATATCCAGTTTGAATAAAAAATATGAACATGATATCTTCATATTCTTACATGTTTACATGCCAAGTTTTCAGCCACTGTGCAATGTTCATTGGATAAACTACGGGGAAAACTAATTAATTAACTACAATGTGCACAAACCTTCACATTATAACAAAATTATCAGATAGTCAGTCTACGGAAATCCAATGGATATGAGCCAAGTCTTTGTGATAAGATTTCGATACAGCAGCTACAGTATTTGTATTATTGAAATGATTACTTCTTTTCGCATCTGGATATGTGGTTATTATTTACAACCCATCATTTGCTGAAACATCAGCTCAGGTTATGTTTGCTTAGTTATTACTTTGTCCTATCGTAGAGCTTTTGAAATATTAATGTTATGCTCAGAAGGCATGCATCAATATCAGTCTCTTTATCATCATCATTGACATTCAACAATTTGAAATAAAGGTACGAAAGACACGGTATTTTCTCATTACATAACCTCACCAAACTTTCTCTTATAATAATCAATGTGCACATTCAAACAGTAACGCTTTAGATTGTAATAACATAACGGATTATCACAAACGTTTGTATGTATTAATACCTTTTCTACTTACATAATTTTTAAATGTGACAAGTTTAAAATACCAGTTGCTTCAAAGCAACCAAATACAGCTTAACACCACAGATAATTACGACCCAACCTGTACAAAAATTATTG